GACGCTGTCTTTTATCAGGAGTTCGTTCACATTCAGACACATCACTGTGCTGCTGTTTGCCTAAATCCTCCAGATTACCAGCAGGGCTAACGGTTAAAATAGACAGGTCAGGAGACCTGCTGCACTGAGTCTGCTGGATACGGGGATTGAGGGAGAAGTACTCATTTATAGGGTTTACATGAACAAACTTATCTTTATAATGATATAAATTGTGGTTATGTGTATATGAAATTACGAATAACAAATGTAGCAGGGCATTAAATCACAGTTCATTTCTTTGCATTTTAACTTTGTAAACTATAAACTCATGCGTCTCCTCACGGTTTGTCTCATTTTGTGAGCTAGCTTCGTTCGCTCCCCTTCTCCCCTGCTGGCCACGCCCACTCCTACCCGATGCTCGCGGAGCTCCACGCCCATTAATCATGCATCTTTTGAAAAAATTCTGAAGTAGACTTTAACCGAAAATGGGGGGTGTCATGGCCCTTTAAGGATCTATGCACAAAGGATATTTAGTGCTGTAAACATTTTTAGCTAAAAAAAAAAGTATTATAGTGACGATAATGTAGCTTGGGCAGTGTGGTGGCGCAGCGGATACTGCTGTCATCTCACAGCAAGAAGGTATCGTGTTTGAGCCATGGCTGGGTCAGTTGGCATTTCTGTGTGAAGTTTGCATGTTCTCCCCATGTTGGCATGGGTTTCCCTCAAGTCCAAAGACATGCGCTATAGGTTAATTGGGTAAGCTAAATTGCCCATAGTGTATGTGTGTATGTCCTGGTCCTCCAGGCTGGGTGTTGAGCGTTGGGATAATGACCCACCATGTTAAAATAAAATGTTACGAAACACCAACATGGTGCAGCTAATTATCAACGGCCATGGAAGTAAGTATAATGGGACTTAAGAAGAACTGGAATATAGTAAAACATAAGAACCACCTTTATGATACACAGTTTGACAGGCTGAATCCTAATTAATATGCTATGTATTTAAGAAAGTGGGCACTTTCAAAGATGCAATTTTTTTTCAAATATTTACTTTTATGCTGAATCAAACTTTAAAGAGTTGTATGTTACTGATATCCACTAGGTCAAGTACACAGAGGTATTTGCAGAGCTGTATTTATGTCCTTATGATTACACTGTATAAAAGGGCTAGACGATTAATCAGGCAAATGTGATGCTCATTCATTTTGTCAGTACAGTCGGCTCTCTGAACTTTTTTGTGGCGTATAGTAAACCCACTATTGTGCTTCTCTGAATCAATAACAAAAGCTTAAATAAACAATCACAGCTTTGCTTAATCGCATTTGCAAATTTATTTTGATTAATCTCCCAGCCCTATCGTATGCTTATTATTGTCTAAAAAACTGTGTAGGTTGACAAGTGTGAATGTGCAGCTTATAAATGTAAAAAATTATAATTTAAGGCAAGAATAAGAATGCAAGGTTTTATTACAATGATTTTATCAGTGCTGTATGTTGTATACAAGTTCTTAACTAGTCCTCTTAACTTATCAGTTATTGATGGTCTAATTTAATTTTCTGATTTCTAAAATAACCTGTCACCATTTAATCTAGTATAACTCTTTTGTTCTAAAATAATGCTACAAAGAACTGGTGGGAAATGTGGGTTGTGTATGTCATAGTTTGTCACAGAGCTCATCATCTGGAAAGCATTGGATTCTAACTATTGTGTACAAACATCTGATAAACATCTCAGGAAAAATACAGATGACACAGCAGATGGGCCAACTGTCTAAAACACCAGATGGATGTCTGAGTGTTGTACCTATCCCAGAGGTGCTTTGGAGAGGTAATATTACAAACAGAACAAGTCTCTCACATTTATTATATCATTACGAGGACATGCTTATAATGCAAATGCTTTTAATTCACACACACACACGCACAAACAAAATCTTTCTAAGGCAAACCACATGGTTCGAGTATTTACATTCAAACAGGTTTTCATTGAAGTCTCAGTCTAAACATAACAAGACATTGATTCTAGTTTAAAATGGCATAAAGTTAATTATTGTACATTCTTTGGCTATTTTTCCTTTTTTTTTCTCTAACTTCATCCAGTTTATAACTTCCACAAAATCATTACATTTCTCCGACAGCTTGTAATATATATGAAGTTATAAGGATGTGGAAAACATATGTAGGAATCTGCTCCCCGAACAACAAAACACATAAAATCACATCTTTCGCACCCTTGTAAAAAATCATTTATACAGTATGCTCACATTTGCCAAAATCAAGGGAAAAAAAGTCCGAAAAACAGGTTGGCAGTTTGGTTCACAACAGAACAGCGTTTCCCTCCTTAGGCTATGTGCCTCCACAGATGTTTCATTCAGCCTTTGCAGCATTTGGCCACTCTAAAAGTGCTTCAGCCACTGCATTCCCTCCCATTGTACTGTGAAGGAGAGAGAGAGAGTGGGGTGGGGGGGTTTGACAGGGACAGGCTGTTTACCACCACCCCCTCCTTTCCCCCTGTGTTAGCTCGGAGAGGTGGGGGTTGGGGGACATTGGGGCGGCAGCACAATTGCGAAGGGTCCAGCTTGGAGCTCCGGGCGGCACAGAGGGTCATAGAATGGAGCTCTGCGTCTGGGCCTCCCGAATCCTGAATCTGCCGGGTGGGTGGTCTCCTCTCTCCACACCCATTCTCTCTCTCTCTCTAATTCACTCGCTACTCTGCTATCCCAACACCTCCAAGAGAAACGATTAGCTCATCCACTCTGGCCAGCACTTGAGCTCTGATGTGGCAGTCAGTGGCACAGACTGGATTCATTCAGAGCTAGATTAGAGAGCCTCATGGGCGAGCTGCGTGGCCAGGCCCACAGAGGGAGCCGCTTGCCCCTGCTCCTGCTGCTGCTTTACCATTCTGCTGGTGGGCTCTTTTCACTCAGACTACTAACTGGGTGGCAGTTAGCACTAATCCTCTCACTGATTACCTCTGGCATGAGGAAATAAACAGTAATAAATGAAAATACAACCTCCTTCTATCAACAAGCACTCACACTTTCTAACATTTACAGACTTGCGCTCCTTTTTCCCTGATCCCCACATGTCAAAATAATGTACAAGTTTCACTTGGTCCCCACAAAGTGGACAAAACCTGACTTAAACACAATTTTTGGTTAGGTATCTTGTGCCAAATGGGGCACTTATTAATATAGTTAATTGAAGAGGCTTTTAAATTGTCCAATAAACTCAGAAGTGCTCAGAAGTAAGAGGCTGATTAGATATTTTAAAATAATTTAGCAAGAAGGCTTTCCAGTAGGCTATACTTTATTTATTATTCAAAAATATGGGGGAAAATAAAATGGTAAAATCTTACCATTTAACATCATTTAAAATCAGAAAGTTATAAACATCATGATGAGTATAAAAAGTATAAAAAGGTGGGGCAAGCAACATTAAGAATTGTTTTAGATTTAGCAGTCCACAATTTTTTTTTACTCTTTATTCAATCAACATTGTTTAGATTCAACCAACAGAAAGGCAAGTTATAAAAAAAAACAGTAATAGAGGAAAAGTAGGTGTAAAAACAGGATTGGACCTTGTCTGATACAGTCTCACCCATATTTGACCAAAATTGTATAGTTTTCCTGATGGCGTCATTTATTTTGGCTGTGGTATATTCCAAAATATTAATGTCCAGTAAATAAAGTTTTCAAGTAAGATCAACCGGAGTGGATGTACATTTATTTATTATTTTTTTTTTTGCAGCAGCAGCAGCAGTCAGAACAACAAACCACACTATTTCAACAAACAGTAAACAAACAGTTTATATAAGCTCAAAAGCAGAGCACTAATATATTTGTATATTACATATTATATTATATTTAAATATTTAAATGTTCTTTAGACATTTAGATGCAATATCTAAATAATATATATATATATATATATATATATATATATATATATATATATATATATATATATATAATTTAGATTTTCAAATATTAGATGTATTTACTAGCATAGTTGTGTATGATTTTATTCTACGTATGCGTTCTGCAACAAACTGTTTGTCTTCTCATACCTACAGTGACACCTTGTGTCTAAATGTGGTTTTACATAAAATGCTCTTGATTTTATAACCAGATTTCCAGTGTGCAACAACCAGAACCTAAACATGGATCTAATTAATGTCCTGGTGCCCTAAGAAACACTTTCACTGATTACTATTTTTGATATTGATATTTTTAAAGGTCCCTATACCTGTACTTTTTAAAATGAATAAATAAAAACTTTATTGAAAATAAATAAATAAAAACTTTATCCCGCTTCCAACAAGAAACCTTTAACATCCATAGAAAGAAAAATTACTCAGTTACTCAAAGATTAAAATGCTTATAACAAGAAGATTTTTTATTAATATTTTGAAAAGTTTCTCTAACGTTTATTTTTATTCATTCATTCATTTATTCATTGTTCGTTTGGCTTAGTCCCTTTATTAATCTGAGGACGCCAAAGCGGAATGAACTGTCCACTTATCCAGCACATGTTTTTACACAAAAAAAGCCCTTCCGGCTGCAACCTATCACTAGGAAACGATTGTGCTACCCACAGCGCTGCCTCAATGTTCTTTTTAGAAACAATTATTATTTATAGTTGTAGTAATAATAATAATTATTATTATTATTATAGTTATTATTAATACTACTACGACTACTACAACTACTTCTTACTACAACTACAATCTTACTTCCCTGTCTGGAACCTTTGTTTTTTATTCATTTGTCAAGCATTTTAATTTTAAGTTTCCCTGATAAATGAAAATCAATGGTGTAAAATAAGAGCTGTTACCCCATATGCTGTGAATGCACTACATAGACTACAGTTAACTTTAAAAATAGAAATATCTATGGTGAAATTACTGGTGTGAGAAATTGCACATAAAATCTTTTAAACACAAATGCACACTTGTTCCTATACAGCTGGGTTTTCCATTTTTCCAGACTGCAAACAATGGATCACAATGTCCACACAACCTGTTCAAGTTTAAATGAAGAATACACTACATGTAGTGTAAGGGGATTTACAAAACTGCCTAAGTTCCTTACGTGCCTTTTTTGGTTAACTATCTGCTGCATCCTGTGCTGGTCATAGAAGTGGAAGTTACGTGGTTTCAGAGTGAGTATATGAACTGTCCTGAGGAAGGAACATACATATTACAAGATAGCATCTTTTCTCAAGATGTGCTACGCATCACTTCATCTCTTTCTTGGTGAGTTTGAAGACTTTTAACCTTAATAAAATAAGTCAAAGCTTTTAAATACAACAAAAACTTTATATGATTAAAATTAATTTGCTATTTAAGTGTATATTCAATATTTTAAGCCATTAAAATGACAGAATATGCAGCTGAGTTTTAGAAATGTAACAACTTGTTGATTGTAATAAATACTGTATGTTCTTCATGAGCTTTCTCTGGTAATATACAGGGGCCATACTTGTCCTCGCAGTTGGAAATGAGGCCACAACTATGATAAACGGCACAAACAGCACCTTTATAGTTTTAAAGCCTGATAACACCACCACCAACAAAACAATTCTGGACAACTCTACTGTAACTTCATCACCTATATCGACTACTGTTCTATCAAACACAACAGAAGCCAACGACACATTAGATGAAGGATCAGGTAGCTTTTCATTTAGCTTGATATCTTGCTATTGCACATCTGCCCACACCACTGATGCAACAATGCAGAGAGACTATTGGGAAATATAATCCAGTCTAAATGCTATGCTGCTTGTTTTAGTGTAAATGACAACCTTTAACTGAAAGGAAGTTATATATTTTATCTGTTGTACAGCAGATTCACCCAATACTTCACCAACCTCTAAAGAACCGCAGACCACTAGCACCACAGACAATCCTCTGAACAAAGTCCCACAAGTCAGCACAAATGCTACGATTCAAACAACAACCAGAACAAGAACCAGCATAACAACTTGTACAACAACCAGTAAGAGAGAAAAATACTGACAACACAAGCAACTATCACTATTTGCTCTTTTCTATGATCAGAATGACTTATTTTTTGTGCAAGAGATATACTGTATATGTGTGAATTACCTTTTAACGCTTAATTTGTTTCCTACTGAGTCATTCTTACACAGGAAGAAAGTGTGTGGTCTAGCTATCGCACATTTAAATCTGTAAAAAAAATTAAATCCTCAGCAACCCAGAACACATAAATAACAGAAATAGTTTACTGAAAAAAAATGCAAATTATTGCTTGACTTCTCTAACCAAAGTAGAGCACAAACTTGCCATTCACCTAAACATGTACTCATATTCTTTGAGTATTACATTATCATACCTATGAGTGATACATTGCTTTTTTTTTCAAGCAACTAAAGCACCAGAGCCCAAAAAACATGGACCAGGTGAGTATTTTTCTATGTCTTTTCTCTCTCAGTGTTTATTCATGTTCAGTTTTAGGTAGGGCTGCATGATATTGGATAATCTGACATTGCGATATTTTGTTTTTCTGTGATATATTGCAATATACTTTGTTTTCAGGGTTTCGCAGGTTTCACCAAGTCAAATTTAAGACTTTTTAAGACCATACAGAATAAAATTTCAGACTTATTTAGGGCTAAACACTAAGGATTTTTTAATCACCCAGCAAAAAAAAAAAAAAAAAAGGAAATCAAAAAAACTAATTCTAATTAGTCATTTCTTAGCCACATATTTTGAATTATGTGTCAAAATAAGCAGACCCTGGTTGTATACATAATTTGTTTTCAACATACCTCTTTAAAAACTATGTATGCACAACAAACTGTTAGAATATTAGTTATGAATACAGTTTTGCTTAGTTTTATTGAGATGTATCGTTGGTGATTGGATGTATATTGGATTGTCTGGATAGCTTTACATAAACAAAGGAAAATTAGGACCTGTTTAAAATAATTTAAGACCTACAAAACAATATTTCAGTCACTTTTTAACTTTAAGTTTTTTAAATAAAAGAGATTTTAAGACTTTCTAGTACCCCACATACAGTTGAAGACTGAATTATTAGACTCTGTTTATTTTTCCCCCAATTTCTGTTTAACGGAGAGATTTTTTTCATCGCATTTCTAAACATAATAGTTTTAATAACTTATTTATAATAACTGATTTATTTTATCGTTGCCATGATGACAGTAAATAATATTTGACTAGATATTTTTCAAGACACTTCTATATAGCTTAGAGTGACATTTAAAGGCTTAACTAGATCAATTAGATTAACTAGGCATGTTAGGGTAATTAGGCAAGTTATTGTATAATGATGGTTTGTTCTGTAGACTATCGAAACAAAAATTAGCTTAAAGACGCTAATAACTTTGTCCTTAAAATGGTGTTTAAAAATTTGATAACTGCTTTTATTTTAGCCAAAATAAGCAAAAAAGACTTTGTCCAAAAGAAAAAAAAATATTATCAGACATACTGTGAAAATTTCCTTGCTCTGTTAAACATAATTTGGGAAATATTTTAAAAAAGAAAAAAAAATCAAAGGAGGGATAATAATTCTGACTTCAACTGTATACACAGTGTTGTACCTGGAAATAATTTTTGTTCATACTTTATTTTAAGGGTCTGTTCTCCCTCTTAGCAAACCATTTTGACTTTTGCTTCAATAAACTCCTATATTGCTCCATATTGATAGTTATTAGGGTAGTTTAGGTATTAGGTAGGATTAGAGATGTAGAATAAGATCATACAGAACATGTGCTGTATAAGTACTAATAAGCAGCCAATATCTCAACAACATGAGCAACTAGTTAATAGTGAGAATTGGTTCCTAAAGTGTTATCGAATGAATTAATTTTGACTGGGGTGATTTTGTAGGGGAGTGATTCATGCATAACCTGTAATAAACAAACTACAAGCATACAGTAGATAAATGCAACAAAGCAAAGATAAAAATGAAATAAACAGTGCATACATTATAGTTTTGTACATGTTAATGTAAAAATTACACCGCAAAGTCAACTCAATATTGCATATCTTTGCGATGTGACTATTATGAATACACACATTGCGATATCGATACTAAAACAACATGTTGTGCAGTCCTAGTTTTAGATTTACTTGCTTAATTTTTACTTGACGACAAGATTTTAATATTCTTACTCTATTTTGAAATTTTTTAACAGCTTACATAATTATACTGGTCATTGCTGTTCTGTGCATCACTGGAGTAGTAGTTTTCTGCTGCCTTCAAAAGAACTCCAGGGTAAGAGACTTCATTATTACTTTTTGAAATAATTTTATAACTATATATTTTAATGTTTGTCATAGATGAGATTTTGGTGTTTGCATCAAATATTCCAAAAAATGCAAGTAAAATGTCTACCCTCTCCCCCCTTTTTTGTTATTTTAAGTAATGTATAAAATAAAATGCACAATTATGGGTGAAATAATGCTTCATAGTCCTTCAGAATAAATTACATATGAATGTAAAATTAAAACATTTTTAACGTAAATATTCAACCCAAGCTCATTCTGGAAACGTAGCCGCGCGGACGTTTCTGGAGACCGCGATTTACGTGGCCGGAGGTACGTAAAGGCCGCGTTTGTTTTTTTTCGAGCGAACGCTGTGGGGCGGTGTGGCGCAGCTCCGCCCCTCCTTTTCGCGCTCGCCGGCCGACGGCTCGCCTCCGAGTGGAGGGCTTTCCCGACGCAATCAGTTTGACCGCCTAGCTCACAGCGTTTTGACGGCGGAGCGGAGGCCCCGGAGGAGGAGGAGCCGGAGCCGGCCGCGGTGGACGACGACCGGGATCGAGTCCGGGGAACAGCGGGTTCCGGAAATCAGGCAAGACGAAAAACGGAATCTGGAAAATAAGGGCGAGAACGTGGCGGGATCCGAAAACGCGGTCGAAATCGAAGACGAGGGCTTTTGCTTTTTTTTTTTTTTCCGATCCGGCGGCTTTTCGCGCGAGAACGGCGCCCGCCCAAGATGCAAAAAAGTGCGCACAGCGGCCTCTCGCGGATCCGCGAAAACAAAAAAACGCTCGAATACGTACCTCCCGGGACGTAAATCGCGGTCCGCAGAAACGTCCGCGGGGCTACGTTTCCACAATGAGCCCGGGTTGTAAATATTCATTCATTCATTTTCTTGTCGGCTTAGTCCCTTTATTAATCCGGGGTCGCCACAGCGGAACGAACCGCTAACTTATCCAGCAAGTTTTTACGCAGCGGATGCCCTTCCAGCCGCAACCCATCCCTGGGAAACATCCACACAGACATTCACACACACACACTCATGCACTACGGACAATTTAGCCTACCCAATTCACCTGTACCGCATGTCTTTGGACTGTGGGGGAAACCGGAGGAAACCCACGCGAACGCAGGGAGAACATGCAACTTCACACAGAAACGCCAACTGAGCTGAGGCTCGAACCAGCGACCTATTTGCTGTGAGGCGACAGCACTACCTACTGAGCCACTGCTTCGCCACATGTAAAATATAAAAGAAAAATTTAATTTTATGATATGCCACTTAATTAAAAAAAAAAAAAAGCCTTGTCGACAAATAGGTAAAACCCACTGAGGGATAGTGGCAAAGTAAATTAATTAATAATTTATAAGGAATTAATTAATTGGGGGGGATGGGGGGGGCTGTACTTTTTGTCAAATGATTTTTGTTTTGTTGTTGTATTACATTTTAGTAGGTGTCTTTTTCAAAAAAAAAAAAAAAAAGGACAAGCAAGTAAACAGGACATTGTTTTAAAAGTTGCAACCCATCGTTTTTGACCTATGCACAAACAATATGTTTGCAGAAGTATTCTGTCGACTTGCACCCTAAAAAAGAAGATGCTCAGATTCCACTCAGCACAGTGGATGCAGAAGTGTTTGACACCACGTCAGAAAAAGGTACCTGACATTCCCAACTTTGCATCGCCACAGGGACTTGTGTAAACTGACCTTTTGTCATATACTGTCTTCTAAAGATTTGCAAACATTTGCTCCAGTTGAGCCAGTAAAGGACCCTGACATTGGGAAGGAAGCTGAAAAGCCTGAGGAAGGAAAAGGTACGAGACAGACAGGCATACTGTCTGGTAATCACTTCATCTTAATGTCTATTGTGGTTTTTATTCATTCCTATTTTACAATGCTTTTTTAAGCTAATCAATCATTTGTGTAAAAAGTTAAGGAGCATAAGAAGCATCTAACACTTTATAATAACTACACACTATGAACCATTTGTTAAGTATTAGCAAATAGTAAATTCATTATCTGTTAAGCATTAACGCTACATTAATAGATGTTAGTAAGCATTTTATAACCACATTTATAATGTGCTTAATCATTGTATTTTCATACTTTGTTAAGAATGAATTTTTCATTACAAAATTAAGTATTGCATTATTTACAAATTAGTTATCTAAGAATAGTTGGTGTTTTTTAAGATAACTTAGAATGCATGAGTAAATGGTTAATAAACAATTCAAATGATCAATTATACATCTTATTATTCAGCCATATATTAATAAATCTAAAGTGAGGACTATATTTATGCTTTATAAATCCAACTTTGTCATATTTTGACCCTTTTGTTATTCAGCAATGTTCAAACTTTAAAGTAATTTTATTTTTAGATAAGATTGCAATGATTATTGTTCATTTAATACTAACTTAATTGTCATTAAGGAATTTATAAAGCATAAATAGTCCTCACTTTAGATTAGGTCACAAAACTGGATGAAGTTGAGATACTAAAGCATTTATTAACATACAAATTAACTATTAGTACATGCCTGAATAATAAGATATATAAACGTTAATTTCAATAGTTAATTAATCACTTACTAACTCATTCTGATTGATCTTAAAGACCACCAACTATTCTTAAATACAAATGTTTTGTAAATAATGCAATACTTCAGTTAGTCATGAAAAATCAATGTCAAGAATACAGTATGTGTAGCTGCAGTTAATGATTAACAAATAATGAAATAACTATATGCTAATGCTTAATAAATGGTTCATAGTGTGTAGTTACTATAAAGTGTTACGGAAGCATCTTGTGAAACAACTTAATGTTATTTCTACACTCAAATACTAAACAAAGGAGACTAGGGTACTTTAAAAATCTAAAACTAAATAAATGTGTGTGTCCTTTAGCAATCCAAAATTGTGTAACAGTACTAAAGGTTCATAAACTATTTGTAAAGTAGCGCATGCATTTGTCCATAAATCCCCAAAGCCCCTCTAAACCACTGACCAGAACAAAGGCTTTGTTAAACTAGTTGCAATAGAAGAGAGCTCCACTGGATGGACTCTAAGACTAGAGTTTGGAGCTGCCAAACATTCTTTTCAGAAACGAATCTTGCATTTTACAATGACAAAATGTGGATTGGTGATAACTAACCAATTTACAAATGAAATAAATACAAGACATAATATGTTTCAAAATAAATGTTTTAAATCCATGAATGTATAGAATGTTCAGAATAAAGACCTAAGGTATATATACTGTATAAATGACTCATGGAAAGTGAAAGCAATTCAAAAAGCTAGCCTTTTTTCATGTTTTTTTTTTTTTTTTAAGAACACAAATTTGTTTATCAAGGCGACATTTATTAAATGTAATTTTTTTTATTGTGAAACATTTATAAAAATGTTAAATAACTGCTTTCTGATTGTACAGTATGTAGATTCAAATTAAACTAATACTACTCAAGTTTTAATAATTACTCTACATTATTGCTTTTATTGCTATTGCCATCATCATTATTATTATTATTATTAATATCAATACTACTACTACTACTACTACTAATAATAATAATAATAATAATAATAAATCATAATTAATAATAATCAATATAAGAGTGATTTCTGAATAATCATATAACTGAAGACTAGAGTAATGGAGCTAAAAATTCATAGTTAAAATCACTGAAACAAATTATTAAATTATATTATCAACTACTTTTAAACAGTCCTTCTATAGTGCAATAACATTTCACAATTTTTCAGTTTGTACTTTTTATTAAATAAATTAGTATTTTTGATTAAATAAATGCAGCTTTGTTGAGCAGGATAAGCTTATTTTAAAACATTTTTAAAAATCCTACAAACCCAAAACTTTCGACTGGTAGTGGGCATTCCAATGAGATGTTGTTTAAGTCTTTTTTTTAGACATTTTCCTGTCACATATTCATCAAGTTGTCAAAATATGGATGGGCAGATGGATATTGAATTAGAGGAAAAATGTTATTCTTCCAGTTAGTAACAAACCTCTGTCTTGAAAGTGCTGCTATTCTAGTGTCAGGCAGTAACCATTATCTGAACTGAGCTTGTGTGGACATGTTTCAATGACTACAGAATTTAGGAAATGACCACTTTTGACCAGAGGCAGCTTGTCTTTGTGTCTGATCCCTACCATCTGGAAGAGTCATAACAGATATAAAGATGCCTTTGGCTGACTTTTTCTTTATTGCTTAGAGACATGAGCTTAGCTTTTCATTTACCAGGGCTATTTTATTCATTTTCAAAGATTTTAGTTTGATTAGTTTGCATTGCTTTTGTGCATGTGTTAATATGCATGTGCAGGATATACAAGATTTACGTGTGAACGAGACCGCAGTTCACTGGAAATAATGACATCTTACTGGTTTCACCCTTTTTTGCAACAGGAAATTACATTATCTGCTAGAGTCTAGCAGTTTGAGGAAGTCAAGTAGCTTCTTGAATAAAGACGCTGCTTTTTTGTTTTCAAAAGAATGATTAATATAAATATTTCTATACACATTACTAATGAATATATGAAGATATTGAAATGAATCTAAACTACAACAATTAGATGAATTACTGAGCCTTTACATTTTCATTTTTTTGTTCATAAAAAATGTCACACAATCTAACATTTTATTTGACCACTTTAGCTTTGGTTATGCATTCACTGTGGTATTCTTTCAACAAACTTCTGCAATGTTACAACATTTACTAGAGTTGCATGATTTATTTTTGCCAAGATATTGTATTGATGATGGAAGAGTCGGACCAGTGCAAAAAGTCTTATCTAGCACATCCCAAAGATTCTCAATAGGGTTAAGGTCTGAAATCTGTGGTGCCCAATTCATGCTTAAAATTATGTCTTATACTCCCTGAATCACTCTTTCATAATTTTAGCCTATTGTATGGTATTCAATAATAAGCATGATGGGTGCATCACGTCATCCCCCTCTCTCCTTCCATCTTTATGCTCCCTGACAAATTGACGGCTTTTTAATTAGTCTCATTGATATGTGGTCTTCTTAAAACTATGCAGCTGCTTGTTCTAAATCCCCTGAGTTCCGTTTGCATTGTGTGTGTGGAAATGCTCTTACTTTCACTATTAAACTAATAGCTTTAAGTTCTATTTTTTTTCTTTTCTTTTTTTTTTTTTACAATTTGATCTCAGTTAGACGATTAAGTGATTGCCAATCGTGATCATTCAACATTTTTTCCAATCCCATTTCTTCATCAAAGATGAGATTTCTCCAACACCTATCCAGTTTTTAATAATGCGTTGGACAGTTCTTAACCCTTTTTTTGGTAGTTTCAGCCATCTTCTTAAGGTACTGTAGATGATTGATTTACTTGATGCATGAAGATAATTAGACCCTTCTGAAGTATATTAACATAATTTCCATGAATATGAGTTGTTTCTTTCAGTGTGGTTGTATAATAAACGAGAAGCTACTCTCTGCATCAGTTAGGTTTAAATAACTTGTTGCAAGCTAAAACAAAATCATACAGTCTAATGCAAAAGTTTGGCCACCCCTGATAATTTTCATAATTGCAAGCCATAGCCTGCTGGCCTTTCAGATCAGCTAATTTATTTGGATATATTTTATACCCTATAGGGAAAAATAAACATCTTAATTCTGGCAAAACATTTAATTAATCAACAGATGCAATGCAATTTAAATCATAACCAAAAAGGACAGGTGCAAAAAAGTTGGGCACCCCAACAAAATAATACAGTAACATCAATCTTTGTACAGCCTCTTACAGTCTAAGATGAGTACCTGACTTCATGCTGAAGGCATCTTAGGTCATTCTTCCTTGCACAATTTCTCCAGTTCAGTCAAGTTTCATGGGTGCCAATCATGAACAGCCTTTTTCAAATCAATCTATTGATTTTCAATGATGTTCAAGTCTGGGGACTGGGATGGCCATTCTAGATCATTATATCGTGTCTTAGCATGAACTCCTTGGTAGATCTGGAACTGTGCTTTGGGTCACTGTCCTGCTGAAACATCCAACCCTGTCATAATTTCAGCCTCTTGACTGATTCCTGAACGTTGTTCTTCAGAATCTGCTGACACTGGGTGGAATCCATGCAACCTTTAACTCTGACTAGGTTTTTATTACCTGTGCTAGCCACACATCCAAACAAAATGATGGAGCCCACCAAATTTTACAGTGGGGAGCATGTTCTTCTCCTGGAATGCTGTGTTCTTAAAACGACTCTCGTTGGCAGAACCATCCATTCAGCTATTCTTTGGCTTTCAGTTATTTTTCGTGGTCTAGCACATCTTTCCTTCACAAGAACTGTTCCTTTGGCCTTTCATGTTCTTACTATATTTGTGACTGTGGAGATAGACACCTTAAATCTCTGTGATAGCTTTTTGCATCCTTCTCCTTCATCCTACCCTAGTTTTTAAGGTCATTAGGAAGTTATTTTAAGGTCCCCATGTTGCTACTTTTAGATTAACAATAAAAAGCACAACTAGCAATCAACTAGCTGTCTTAAATATCCTTTTTCATGATTGGCTGCACCCGTGTTGGCACTGTTAAGGTTTTTGTGTTGTAATCAGTTAGCATTGATGATTACAGGTTTTGAAATTCACACAAAAGAGAAGGTGCCCAAACTTTTGCATTGCTTATTTTTCACACTTCTCAATACAGCTACACTACATATTTCTGTCTGAAATACATGACATTATCTAGCTTTCTCAAGAAACCAAATGCCATTTTACTGTGATTTTTGTCTTATAAAGAAGAATCACATTATTATGCAGCCACAGAGGGGTGGCCA